AGATTTTTGCACGAAACTTCGAGCTCGTTTCCTCAACAAACATACTCGGGCCCAAGTAATAATGTCATATGCACAGATTAAATTCGACCCACGTTCGCAAACACTGCTGAAACACATCGATGACTTGACATTCCAATTGCAGGGTAATTCCTGTAGTCTGGATGAACGGGACCACCTCGATATCATCATTGTACCTTATCCGATCGTCTGCGGAAACTCGTCCACACTCGACAAGTCCNCCCAATTAAGTTTGAACTCGACCTTCCATGGTTTTGAGAATGAACGGGGAACGATGAGTTCAACTCAAAATACTGTTCCATCACAATATTTACCCTTAACCATACCAGATTCGATTCCAAACCAGAATATACCGACTTCGGTTCAGGCAACTGAACCACGGTATACCCTGACCACCAGTACGGTTAATTTAAATGCTCAACCAGCCGTTCTCAATTCAGCATCAGGCGGAACGGAACTAACACCCTTATTACACCAACTGTCTGTAATGGTGTCTGAGTTGCTGAGAGCCCAAACACAGATGAAACAGAAAATGATCCGTGATCGGATTCAGTTGCAGACACAAATTCCTGACGTTCGTGATATGAACCAAACCATTCCAACGACCTGGAATCATACCTGGATACCACCCTCGGTGGATCCTCCGCATGGTTCTTTGGGTGGTCCTTCAACCTTACAAACTCAAACCATCAATACCTACCGTGGTCTTAGAACGTCACATATCCAAGAACCAATTAATCAACCATCTCATTTATATCCGAATTATTCGCTATGCGGTCCACCACAATCACGACCAAATCAAGCCACTATATTCGACGAATCTGCCCAAGCGGATGCAATGGATAGGAAATTCAGAGGCTTACCATCGTGGATGGGACGTGCTCAATTCGATGGCGTTCATGTGAACGAAAAATTTCTATCGCTTGAAGATTATTTGGCTATTGTTGGCTCATTTCGATATAAGATTGGAGTACCCGACCACGAATTGGTTACGCGTTTGGTGCCCACACTCACGGGGGCCGCTCGACAATGCTACTTCACCGAACTGAGGAACTTCAGAGATTATCAAGATTTTTGCACGAAACTTCGAGCTCGTTTCCTCAACAAACATACTCGGGCCCAAGTAATAATGTCATATGCACAGATTAAATTCGACCCACGTTCGCAAACACTGCTGAAACACATCGATGACTTGACATTCCAATTGCAGGGTAATTCCTGTAGTCTGGATGAACGGGACCACCTCGATATCATCATTGTACCTTATCCGATCGTCTGCGGAAACTCGTCCACACTCGACAAGTCCACACGTTGGAGCAATTGCGTGAGTTCGGTCAGCGAATTGAACCACATACGTTCATTGTTGCCACACCCCGTCCGGAAAGAACCCGTTCGGATAGACAGCGATCAGTGCCACGGGAAATTTCGGCAATACATGCTCCACCGGATGATTCTTCACATTCGGAATATACCGCTTCGTTTCCTGGGTCCGACTCCGATGACAGGGAATGCGCATACTTGAGCAAGCAAAAGAAACCATTTAAAGCATCTCAGAAACATAGGTATTCGAAACCAGTCGAGGATTATAAAAATGCCAAAAATCCAAAGGAGAATGATACGAAGGTAGGAACTATCGTCGACCCATTTTTCGTTGTTGAGGGCGACGAAAATGTATGATGTGCCAAATGTCTCGTGTGGGGCCATCACTTCAAAAAGTGTCAAATCCAACCGAATAGGGTGATCTTTATCTCAGAGAAATGTTTGGCATATAACATTCCGAACGATTGTCGCGATTATCTCACGGTAATGGTTAACAACCATTCTCATACGGTTTTACTCGATGGTGGAGCCGAAGTCACAGTCATTTCACAAACATTTTATGAGCAGTACAGATGGGTGCAGTTGCAACCTACCAAAACCTCCATTGGTCTTGCCGATAATTCGATTTCATTTAAGGCCATTGGTAAAGTGGATGTATTATATACGGTCGGTAGTCTTACCCGACTGGTGCCAACTCTTGTCGTACCTATCTCACTGATACACCCAATTATGGGACGGACATTCCTTGAAGCCTTCTTTTTCGAACTGGTGAAGAACCAAGAGAAAGTTCAACGATTTTTAAAACATACAGCCAAAGGTGATACTGAAGAAGTTGCATCCGCTAAATTCGAAATGGTTACGACGGATAAATTTATTAATTTTTGTAACCAGCCACCAGGGAGTGGGAAAGAACAAGCTCAGGTATCTTCTATGAGTAATGATCTGGAGCCAATTGACGCTTCCACACTCGGTTTAGAGGGTGAACTAGATACCCCAAAAAGAACGAGCGTCAGCCTTCCACATAATCTCACCCCAGATCAAAGACAAATGTTGGACGCCGTTCTCAGACTGTTTAATCCAACTCCTGAGTCTCGTCCTTTAAATATGACTAATCAGATTGAGCACGTAATTGATTCAGGTGATGCAAAACCCGTCATGAAACGCCAGTATCCAGTATCGCCATATGTGGCTGAACAAGTCAGCTAAATACCTAACCAGTATTGATCTGTCTCAAGCTTTCTTTCAAATTCTTTTGGCAAAATCGAGTCAACTGAAAACCGCTTTTGCATTCGTTAACAGACTTTATGCTTTTCGTCACATGGCGATGGGGTTCAGAAATTCACCCGCCACATTAGCCATTCTCATTGATAAAATTTTCGCCAATTTGGTTCCACATGCATTCGCATACGTCGATGATTTCATAATTTGCACTTCGACGTTTGAAGAACAAGTTAAGATATAGGCTATTGTTGCAAAACGTCTGGCGGGGCCGGCTTAACCATCTCAACATCCAAATCGAATTTTTGTTGTAAACGATTGGAATTCCTGGGCTACGTTTTGTCTCAGGAGGGTTTATCTGCGAATCCATCTCGTATTCGAGCGATTGTTGAATTTGCACGGCCCACAATGGCAAAAGAAGTCAGACGGTTCGTTGGTGCAGCAGGCTGTTACCGCAAATTTATTCCAAATTTTTCGGAGACCACAGCTCCCCTTTGTGAATTGTATAAAGGAAACCGAAAAGGACCCATTGAATGGAATACCGCTGCTGAACAAGCCTTTCTAAAACTCAAAGAGGGTTTAACTACCACTCCCGTTCTGACTATGGGCGATTATTCAAAACCATTCAAGGTTTAAACCGATGCCTCGCTTATCGCAGCGGGAGCTGTTCTAGTACAAGAACATGATGGGAATGAACGTGTGGTTCAGTATTTTTCTAAGAAATTCTCGAAAGCCGAACTAAATTACACAGCATCCGAACGGGAATGCCTAGCCGTTCTCTTAGCGGTCGAAAAGTTCCGTCCATATTTTGAGGGTCGTGAATTGGTTGTGGTAACGGACCATGCAGCTTTGCGCTGGCTACAAACTCTCAAAGAACCAACTCGCCGTTTATGCCGTTGGGCGATCCGATTATCACCATAAGATCTCAAAATTATTCATAAACCAGGAAAACATTTAGAACTTCCTGACGCCTTATCTCGTTCTTTTGCTCTTCTCAACATCGTTCGTAGAAATCCAATTGACCTTCCGAGTAATTTTCACGTTAATCGTACCCCAATCACATCCGTGATCAACATTGACCCAAACACGTGCGATAAATGGTACAACAAAATGCATTCCATGGCCTCAAAACAACCATTAGATAGATATAAAATCGAGAACAACCTCCTATATCACCGATTGAAATTTTCCAATCAAAGTGCGGAATTACTGTGGACACTTTGTGTACCATCTTCTGACAGAGCAAAAGTCGTCGATGAAAATCATAACCAGCATTCGCATCAGGGTGTTTGGAAAGCTTATAGACGTATCTCACAACGCTATTGCTGGCCAAACATGTATGAGTCCGTTTACCAGTACGTGCGGCAATATGAACTATGCCACCGCATAAACCAAGTAATGAGAGCACCAAAACACCTCACGGCGAATATAGAGAACCAAAACGACCGGGTAGGCAATTATCGATTGACTTCGTCGGTAAGCTGCCCATGTCTAAAAATCATAACCAATGGATCTTCGTAGCCATCGACTGTTACTCGCGATATGTCTGGGCGCAGCCCATGAAAAACGCAAACGCCATATCCGTAGTCAATTATCTTCGACATATATTTACGGTGAATGGCTGCCCCGAACTCATTATATCAGATAATGGTACTCAATTCATCAGTCAAACTTTCGCACAGCTTTGCGCCGATTATAACATCAAACACATGAAAACGCCTTTGTTCCATTCACAAGCCAATCAGGTCGAGGATACAAACAAAAGCATTAAACTTTGAATACGTGCTCACATGGCTGACCTTCTTGAACATTCCTCCTGGGAAAACCATCTTTCTCGTGTTATTCATGATATTAACACTTCAGTGCATTCAGCCACGGGCTATACGCCATATTTCCTGCACACTGGTCGTGAATATATGAAAGATGGAAACGAATATAAATTATTATTGGATGTAAATCCATACCATACACAGGATGTGGAACAGCGTAAAGTTCTGGCTGATGAAATTCGAGACAAACAGTTCGAACAATATCAACAAACCGCACAACGGGCATTTACCCGCAAAAGAGAACGCCATTTCGAGATAGGCTCGGAAGTGTACATTCCCAATCCTAAACAGTCCGTGGCCGGAGAGGGCTATGCACAAAAACTAGCCCCACCAAAAATTAGAGCCTATGTTTCACGGAAACTTGGTTCGAATTCATATGAACTGATCGATGCTAAACACCGAGTGCTTGGCAATTATTCCGCCGATTTAATCACAACGCGTTAACTCATTCAGTACATTCGCCTTCTCAAGAATTTCGATGAATATTTGGCGGGCCTCCATACTCCATTGATTCTGCCTTATTACAGGGTACCTTGCTGGAATAAATTAATTAAGTTTAGTTTTGTTATATCCATAGTTTTGTTATGTTATATCCTCAGTACATTGCTAGTAAATCGATCAAAGCAAACAAGAAAAGATTCATAACCAAATCATTTACCAATGCCTTTCATCTACCGTAGCTTATGTAATGCGTACTGAAACTAAATACGAAAGACGGAACATTTGTACATACATATGCGCTTAAAGGCGAACTGAATGAGTCAGGATGGGGTTGATGAAGATCATGTAGAACGATTTCGATGTAAGGTCTAACGTCGATCAAACCACAGCCCGTGAATCGCATTCGAACAACCATTCTCATATCCCTACTAAACGCTCCACATTTTTTTGTTAACGTGTCGCTGAAGATGAGAGGGGGTAATGATCTATTATTTTTTATCACCCAAATAATAGACATAAGACCGCATGATAAGAACGATTATAAGAAATGTAAACATAACAAAACTGTCAAAGCTAAACTTCAAACATTCATCTAGCAATCCCCGCCAGATGAATGTACGTAACCAATAGTTATTCAAGACACGAACCATCATATCGGTATAGACACGAACTGACATGGCCACTATGAAAACGCCCACACTGACTTACGATAAAAGAATCGGTGGTCACATACCACGAGACTATAAAAATATATTTCCTTTTTGGAATTGGACACAGAGCGAATAACACTCGCTCGTTCGCAAGAACGGAATTATAACCAAGTAATTAAAGTGGATTAAAAACTGGTACTAAAAGCTGGCGACATTCGGGGAGTCGATACTCACCCCTCAGTGGAAATTAATAGAGGCCAGAGGTGCCGTCACATTCCTTCCGGCAAATCCCCAGCCATGTTGTTGCGTAGAATAAAGAAGTTGTGAGCATCAAATCTGGACTATTCATTTAACAGCAATTGAGTCACCATAAGCCGGTAATACAAAATCATTACACGTAAGTCAGTTACTTTCTTGCCACCATCCATTGGAAACGAGCTATCCATCAACCGTAAATAAAGATTCCTGTTTGGACCGACAAACCAAGGTCAAGCAAATCAGGTACGGTGTACCTATAGAGATGCACTCTTACCAGGGAGAATACTTTGAATCGGCGGTGCTCTAAGAGGTGTGTCAGATACTGGGTATCTGGAAAACTCCAACAACGTCTCTTCATCCCTAATCATGGTGGCATTGAGGAACGGTTCAACCGATCCCTGGAAGAGCATTCGCGGAAAGTCGTGGAAAAGATTAAGAAAGACTTGGATGTTCACATACCCTTGTTCCTGATGGGATACCGGTCAGCAGTGCATGAAACAACAGGTAAAATTCCTGCAAAGGTAATATTCGGCAGTGAACTCCGTTTGCCTAGAGACCTGAAGTTTGGAGTAAGAGGCGATGCAAGGAGATTTGGAAAAGAGACGTCCAAAATCCTGTAAGAGTAGCTGAGGGAGATACATGCTCTTGTGAGACAGCGTACCTAGATTATGAGTGACAAGATGAAGGCCAGGTATGATAATGCGATTAACTCCGAGGGCTTCCAAGAGGGAGATTTAGTGGTGCTATACAATCTAAATGGGAAGACTGTTGGGAGATCGAAAAACAAGATCACCACGTGGAAAGGCTTGCAGCGTTTGGAACAGAAAGTGAATCTGATTGGGATGATCTTGCGCGTTTATTTAACAATCCAGTCATACGAACCGAAAGGATTTTGAGAAATCCGTAAACTTAACAAAGATAATCGTAACTATATGAACCTACATATTTATCTAATTGGTAGTGTTTTGCAGTCATCACCTAATACATTTTTAAACTTAAATCGCTGGTATATTCTTTTACTCTACCTGGTAGTTCATTGCATGACACAAAAAAGTCAATAAACAACTTCTGACGGAACATACAATTTTTTGAAGTTTCATAAATTGTGAGTATAATCAACGGCCTTACCACTTTGATAATATTACAACAATAAATCTGAGTATTTTCTTTCCCATATTTATACCAATGTAATAACATTTCGAATCAAAAACCGTTATCAGTGCTTGGTACTTTTTTTACTTACGTGGTTCGCACCTTTTTTATTAAAAATATTTAAAATGTAAAGTGTTAAAAGCGCCTTCATCATAACTGTTCTTTTTATTTTATAATAAAAACCACGAGCGCATTATGTTGTTATTTTTTATTTTCTTATTTTGAATGAAATCTTGCTATTTAAAAATCTAGTTCTTTCCAAATAAAACCTTCTCATAATAATTTGAGCCAAATTTACTTTTAAATGTCTCATCGGATTTTGCAAAAAATTTGGCTTGTGGTTAGCGTATCACCATTGACTTCAACTAATGTTAAATTCAAAATTTGCTATGTATGCAAAAACTGGAAGATGGCTTGTACAGACCACCCTCCGATCAACAATTAACATAATACAAATATATATCATTTTGATCACTTTCTTCATGCGTTCTAAAACTTTGTTTTGACAACACACTTTTCGAAATTATGTAGCCGTCAAAATTTTCAAGTCCATCATATTCCACATCTTTGAGTAGACTGATAAAATCATCAGCTTTAAAAAAAATATATATATTACTTCTGGTGATCAGATAGCATGAATTTTATGAAATGGCATCATTTTTTTAAAAGTCAAATGGTTAAAAACAACAACGAATGTCATTAAATGGAACTACCTACTTTTTGTATCATGGTTCGTTGTATTGGAAAAAAAGCGTTTTACCAGACTAAAAGCACCTAATGGTTTTGAATCAATGGGTGCTTTTTTTCATAACAGCTTGTATGTATTTAACAAAAACAAAAAATTAACAATATTTACAAGAATACATAAATCATACATAAATCCATAAACAAAACTTTTTCGCTCATAACGATTGAAAGCCACATGCTATAATGACTCACGCTTACAACGTAATACCGAAGTACTGCACATTAAAACTGATATATCTCAAGAAAGAAAAATCGAATCCCAACAAACGAAAATCATGCCCTAAGTAGAAATGAGCAAAAAAATGTATGCTTCATTTTATAACCTTTAGGATACCTCAAAATTCCAGTGCTAGAGTAATTGTGCGGCCTGATTTGGATTCAGCACAAGAAATGATGTGTTTTACTCAGTTGGTACAAAAATAAAAATTTTTACAAGTAATTAGAAAAGAAAAAAAGAAATAGATACTTAACTTACTCGCATATCCACTAGCAGTTTCAACGCGAATAGAATTGAACAAGGTGAATTTGCAAGTTCAGCTTCTTATCAATCATGGTTGTATTTAAATGCATTTAAATTTGTAGATTTTTGTAAATTCAGTGCTGCCACAGCTTTAAACATTTAAAAATTATTTCAGGTTTTAACTATATCGGAGTAATTTTAGTTCAGAAGAAAAGCACTAAAAAGGCACTAGGCACTAAATAATTATTTTTGGCGTTTTAATTTTCAAAAAGCACTAAATCTAGTGCTTAAAGCACCAAGTTGGCAACTATGCTTCAGGCCTTACCATAGGAAGGCGAAAATTATTTTCATTTCTTATTTGATACTTATGATATTCGTTGCTTTATCTCAATCGCTCATTTAAGTAAGATGGTAAGATTCCTAATTTAATGTTATGAATAAATTGGAAAGTATGATAGGTAATAGCATAGTTGTTTAACAGTTAGCCAGTTTAACTTAGTTTGCGAGATGCTTAGTAAGTGTATAGAATTTTTCGCCCAGTATAAAACGCATTGTTTGCTGCTTTTGTAATCTATGGATTTGCGAGTCGACTAGCGTAAAAAGAAGAGTAGGACAATAAATATACAAAGTGAGATTCTATAATCGCTCTGTATATAATTATTTTGAATTTTCTCCCAATAAATTTACAAGTTCGGAGCATAAAGCCTATCTTTTTAGCTATTGTTATAACACCATTATTTAGATTATCCTCAAACTTTAGATCGCTATCTAACGTTTTTTCTAAGTATTTGATTTGATCAACTCACTCTATCCTAGAATTTTCTATCTCTTACAATACATTGTCCCAATTACCCAGCCCCTTCCCCAAAATCATATATTTAGTTTTCAGCACATTAATCTTCAGTTTGTTTTAAACAGGCAGTTGTATATAGAATTGAGAATTATAGTCAGTAACGCGTCGTCTGCGAACAACCTGATCTTGCTATACTTGAGATATTTCTTAACGTCATGAATGTATACAACAAAGAACAGAGACCGCATTACCAACTAAAGTTTTCTGGTTTTTCCACTAAGTTAGCTTTCAAACCATTTCAGTTTTATATTTCTTACGCCTATATCAAATACGTAAAGGTAATAGTTTTTTAACCCTCTACATTTGTAATGGCAATTATCTGAAGCAGGAACGTTTAATCGTGGGATATTTTCAACTTCCTAAAAAAAAATTTCAGCCAAACCTTTGT